AATTCAACTATGTTGGAGAGCATGCTAAGGCCTAATTTAATATGCTAACACATATTGATTTTAAGCTAGTTAAGGCCATGTGGATTAATCTTTCACCTAAGATATATATTAAATAAAATCTTTAATACTTGTTCAAATTCACTCAATTTAATATATGTCAATGACCATATTATAGAGTATTATATTACTATACTACATGTTTAAAACAAGTCATAAGCAACCGGAAAAATCAAATCCAATACAAGAAAATTAAATAATAAAATCTCTAGATTTCATATTTAAGCATGTAATCAAGTTGTATAAGTATCAACAACATGTTATATAACAAGAATTAAACCTATAACACCTCCTACCTCAATTTGAGATGAAAACCTCAAAGGCCCACCGAAAAAAAAGTGTTCCGAATCCACCGAAACCGAAGGGTTTTGTCGGGGACAACGCGATCAATATGAATCCCCAAGAAGCCCCATGAAAATCCAAACTCAAAACTTGGCCTCAAACCCAAACTCAAAACTTGGCCAAAAATGGTTTCTAATAAGGGGTAATGGTAGAGCACGACGAGGCGAACAACAAATGCTAAGGCCGAAGGATTTCTACCAAGGAAATCAAGTGGAGGAGAAGAAAGAGTGAAGGTAGCCCCTTGGGCTCCCATGGTTGCCAGCCAAGAGGAGGAAAAAGGTCTGAAAATCTGATTTTAAAAATTAGGGCAACATATTTATAGAAATCTCAAAAAGTGCCCCCCGGTCCGAAAAAGTGAATTTTGAGCAAACGCGCTCAAACGGCAAAACTCCGTGAACAAAAAAGATTTAAAATAAGAAAATATGAACAACGAAAAAAACGGCGTCAAAATCTGAGTCCCGAGCAGAAAGTTATGATCCGAACAAGTTCGGCAACAACTAGGTCCAAAAACTCTGAAACTGGAGAAAAATGACCAGAAGGAAATTCTATGACTTTACGAGTCAACGAAAAGTGAAAATGAATCCCGTACGAGAATCCAGGATCCAGACAAGATATTTTTGCAATAACTTTCGTTAATTGCACAATGGCCCCTACAAAAAGGGTTAACTACGAAATTGCCCCAGAATGAAAATATCTTCCAAAAGATATTTTCTTAGATGCCCCTAAAATAAAATTTCTTCAAAAGATATTTACGAAAAATACCCGAAGAAATGAAAAAGATTCTGAAGAATTGTGCATCTATGCCCCTGTGGACTCCGGGAGCAACCAGAGTACTTTCTTACAAAAGTAAAGATACGTATTTCGAGGAACCACTCAAGATGAAGGCACGTGAAGTCAAAAACAAACTCCGAGCATGAGAAGTGAGGTTGTGCCAAAAACTGACAAACGGAGATAAGACGAAATAGGGAAAATGACAGAATAGGGAAAAGACGAAATAGCGCATAGTGTCCAAAAACGAAAAATGCGAAAATGACACGGTCCTCAAAGGAAGTTGTCAATTCATATGAAAGAGTCTCAGAAACCAATTCCGAGCACTCGAGATGACACTAAGCGACACGAAACAGAACTCAGAAAGGAAAATTAAACGAAAAAAAATTCATTCGTAAAATTTCAAGAAAAAGGAAAGGAAGGCAAATGACCGAGTCGTTACAGCTTAGAAATGGCAGAATTTGCATACTTGAGGTAGTCTACTTTCAACACTTGTTTAATATGTGTCGTTGCTTCTCAAGTAAGAAAAAGCTTTTGATGTTTGTGGGTACTATTTCTGGAAACCCTCACGAGACTTCACTCGTCCACTAGGGGTAACCTAGGAGTTTAAAAGGCTTTTGCATATGCTAAATGCAACCGTGATCCCCACGAAAGTGGTGTTCTCTTTATTTGTTTTATTAGTTCATAGTTGTATATATGTTTACTTCATTTTCATGCTGTAGTTCATTCATAGGGACTAGCAATATCTAAGTTTGGGGGCGTGATAAGTGCTTAAATGTTGCACATTTCAGCACCTAAGTTAAGGTATTTCAGTCTTTGCATCTATCTTAATTTCATGTTTTAGTTCTAATTTATGTTTATGTGTATTTCAGGGTAATAAAGTTAAAATGAGCTAATTTTGGTTCACTAAAGCCTTGTTAGAGTTAAGCAAAGATATTCAGAAAAAGCTCAGAAAATGGCAAAAAGGAGGTCGCAACCCATTGCTCGTATAGTGTGTTTATTCGTCAAAAGCGGTCAATCTCAGGCTTTTGATGATGTTCCCAAAGATGAAGAAGCAAACCAATGAGCTCAGGGCCAAAATGGAGCTAAATAGGGCTTAAAGAAAATTTCCAACTCTTGGGGGATCGATCCCCCAGGACTTGGCAACATTATAGGATTTTCTTATTGTTTGGGCTTATTTTGTGAACTATTGGGCTTTAATAGGGTTATTACTTAAGGCCCAGTGCGCCATTAGTTTAGGGTTAGTTTTTTATTTTATTTAGGAGAGAGTTTTATTATTTTAATTATTAAGTTTTATTTTTTGTATGGTGATATTACGTTCTCTCTAGGGAAAAAGGAAAAGCTAGGGTTTGAAGAACTTTTTACAGAGGCTTTGTCTACAATTGAAGGAAGAAGAAGGAGGAGCCAAAAGATGGAGATGGAGTTTGTTGACACCATGATCATCTTCTCCATGAGCTAGTTCTTCACTTAGGGCTTGGATGAGCCCTAAGTTCATGTAAGCTAAACCTTTGTTTTTCTTTTCTTGGGGAATTATTAAGTTGTAATTAAATATTTGGCCTTGTGATTTCTTTATATATGTATGCTTGATTTGACAAATTAGGGCTTGTATTGATAAATTCTTCCATTGAAATCTCCAAGTTGATTGTATGTCTATGTATGATTAATTAGGGATTTTATTCTTTATTAGTTGATTGAAAATTAATTCTTCTATTGATTCTATATGAAAATTGCATGTCTATGTGCGATTGATTTAAAATTATGCTCTACACTAGATATTTCTTTTAGTTGTGTTTAGTGATGGCCATAGCATGATACTTAGTTGATACAATTGTCAATTAATTTGATGGAATAAAGCTTAATCTTGATGGGTTGTTCTACAAATTAGCTTATTGTCATTAGTTAATTGTAGTAAAGTAGGCAATTTGTGCTTGATTATGTTAATCCATACTTCTAATTACAATTAGTATTATCCTCTTGATTGATGTATGCTCTTATCGGATACATTTGTAAATGTGTATGGTGGGTTATGACGTAGTCTTGAATGGGTTCTACACTTTAGTTTAATTGTCATTAGGTAGACAATTCATTCTTGATGTTGATAATCTATGCTTACAATTGTGATTTGTGATGATAATGTGACCACATCTATAATTACACTAATGAATTCCCCATAATTGAAAGCATATGGTTAATTGCATGGGCTTAGTGGTGAATCCTAACCCTAAGACTCTCTTCCTATCTCTTTAATTCTTAGTTTAATTTAATCTAATTTACTTGCAATATCATTTCCATTTCCATGCTTTTAATTGAACTCTAGTTTAATTATTCACCAAAATCTTTTTCTCACAAACTCTCTCTCTCTATTTCTCTCTTTCACAATCTAATTAACTTTAAAACCAAGTTTAATCCCAACACGTGTTCAATCCCTTGGGACGATCCCTTCTCATTTCATACTACATAGTAAAAGTGTCTAGCGGTTTATAAATGTAAATTATGATGCCCGCTTGATACCAATTCCAAAACCTAAAGTGTCGTGCATTATTTTGTGCACACGCTAGGGTCGCATCAATCTCTAAACTCCAAGACTCTTCTCTCTCTTACTTACTCTTAGTTGCATTATTTTGTTATCACTTAATTTAATTTAGTTGATCTCTAGTTTAATCAATTAACCAACCAATTGTTTGATCACTCGACCTACTAGCCCTAATAGCGATTCCACAACCTTGTCCGACCCTCACAATCCCTTGGGACGATCCCTACTCGCCCTAGCTATATTTATAGTGAAAGGTAGTAGTGGCTTTTATAAATGTAAAACTCTTGACCCTCGCCTTAATGCACACACTCTCTTAAGCTTGACGGTAGTGCGGTAAACCGGTCAAGTGTATTAGTATAAGTGTATGGAGTATTCATGTATATGGTAAATAAAAATAATACATCACTAACTTTTTTGTGTAAATGCTAACTGGGTACTGACTAGACAATGATGTGGCAAATGGGCCGAGTTGGTTTCACCTCAGCCCTTGGATTTGCTCCAATGAGAGGTGCACTGGAGTATATTCGGATCCCATTTGTAAGGCCATCTGTAGCGGGCTTGCGGAAGCCCAATTTCCGCGAGCTATGGGCCAAATGGGTGCACAGCGCCCTAACTAAAACGTGTGGGCCCATTTTTTGGTCGCGGCCCGGCTCGCGGTATTCAGCGAGCCGGTCCGTGATTGCTGAATTTTATTTTTTTTTATTTTTATTTTTATTTATTTTTTTTTTTGCGTCGAAACGGCGCCATTTTTGCTGCACCGTTTTTTGTCTTATTTCCTGCTCCTTCCATAATGTCCCGAACAGTGCCTTGTTTGGCAGATTTTTTTTTTTTTTTTTTTTTAAACCTAAAAATAGGTTATTTTGAGTTCTTTTTTTAAAATAAATAATAAAATAAAATATATTAAATAAAAAATATATTGTTTATGCACTGTTCGTCAAAAATAAATTTTATTTGGGCTAAAAATAAATTTAAAAAACTTGTTTTTTTTGTTTTTTTCCCTTAAAATTTGTTTTTATTTTTATTTTTTTGCTTTAAATTTTAAATGTGTACCAAAAATAATGCATTTGGTGGTTAAGACACTGTTTGGACGACACAAATAGTGTCTTAACGGCTATAATTTTTTTTAAAAAATATTTAAAAAAAAAATAAAATTAGAAATTCATCTATTTAAAAATATAGTCCTTAAAAATATAACCATTATAATATAACCGTTTAGAAAAAGTTTAAAAATAAAATTAATTTTATTTGGAGAGCCAAAATTTAGAGAATATGACGAAATGCATGTTTCTGGAGTGCAAAAATTGTTCACGTGTTTCTTGGAATTGCTAACATGTTTTGAAAAAGATGATGTGATATTTTTAGGGAGAAAGAATTCGGAGGGGATGGCCTAAACCTCGAGAGGCTACTCTCGCCTTTCGATCATTCACTCTCTCGCTCTACAAAACACACTCTCCCCCCTCCTGAGGTCGGCCAGCGAGAGAGCTTTCTGAGTCTTCGATTCTTCTTCATCTGCGAAAGGTCGGTTCTCTCTGCTCCTCTTTCTCAGCATCTCCTAGGGTTCTATAGATTTTCGTATTATTCTTTATTTGAATCTGAAAAGCTTTTTTGTTCCTATGACTCTGTGTATTCATATGTTGAAATATATTATATATATGTACAGATCTCTTGTTTTGAGCTGATTTGTGCATCTGTTCTTTTTGTACGATTAGATTCATCTGTGCAGTGGATATGTATTTTTCTTTTCAGATGCACTAGTACCGTTAGAAGATTTTGGATCTTCTGTTATGTATTGAATTATAGGCTTTGGATTGACCTAGTAGATTTGTATGTGTGTTTTAAGTTCATATGTATATTCGCTTGACATGCTTTTGATGCGATTTCAAATTTTGATGTGGTCAGGAAGATATTTGTTTGCTTGTGTAGCGACTGGAATTTGATAAATTTGTTCCGATTGTTTAATTGTGTACTGGGAGTGAGTTTTAGGTATCGAATCTGTAGATCGCTAGTTTGCTGCTTTTGTCTAATCATCATCAATTTTTTCTTCCTGCTTTTGTCTAATCATCGTCATTTTCCCATATTCTATATGATTTCACCGGTCAAATTCTAGTTTTCTGTTTGTTTGATTCCAATATGAGCTTATTTTTGTGTTGAAATTCTGCCACTTACATTTATGTTCATTATTCTTAACTTTGATTCTGAAATGTCTGATTATTGTGATACAATAATTCTGCAGGTGGACTTTCGCATTAGTAATCATTTATTTCGCGGTATGTCGAGCATCTAAAACCTAATTTAACTTTGTTTACTATTTATATAGTGTTTGTTAGCTTGTTTTAGTTGTTTGGTGAATCCCATTGCAGAATCAAAGACTTGATTAGAGCTACAAAAGCTTAAATATTAGGTCAAAATGCAAACATGGTTGTATATAATACATCCCTCTCCCTCTCTCTCTTCCATAAAATATATGTTCTTGAAATTTTATTGTTAAAACAGTTAGGACTTTTCTCATCAATAAGAAAAAATTTGAAATTTAAATACATTCCAAATTAATTCTTAAAAATCACATGAAGGAAAAAATTCGAATTAAAATTATCTTCTTCTTATCAGATGGATTTTCCATTTTGTGGATGGTTTCAACCGGTAGTATAGGACATTTATCATGTTGTGTTCTATTTAAAATTTATCTTATAATTTTTGTATATCAGAGATATCAAAAAAATTCAAGAGGAATATCTTCGCGTGAATCATTGTATTGTATTTAAATTAAATTGTAATGTAATTTATTATTATGAGCAGGGCACACATCTTGAATGATGAGTCAAGGTACTCATCTTTCTTAAACTCTCGGTATCTTTTACTATTTCACCATCATTTTGCCACCGAAACCTAGTCCATGTCACCTGAAAATAAATATCCTTTTAAAGTTGGTCCAATTTATATTCTTCCAGCATGAGGAGCCTGGGGCAGACCAAGAGGTCTTCCTAGGGATGACATTGATATTTCTACAATATTAGATTTATTATTATTATTTTTTAAAAAGTTATAGTTTAGGGATACTTTTTTGCCATTAAAGTAAAATAGGTCGATCTGTTATTGATATTTAAGCAATATTATTTATCAAAAAAAAAAAATATTTAAGCAATATTAGAAAAAAAATTTCCTAACCAAAAGCTTCGCAATCTAAAGTAGATTTGATTGGGCCCGATACTTAATTTGGTGGTATTCAATGGTGTGGGTCAATGGTATGGTCATTTCATTAGAAGGTTTTGTCCAAAAGAAAATTGCTCGGGACAAGCCCAACGTATAGATGATATATTTACAAAGATAAACATATAAGTATCCTAATAATCTACAACAGTTTTACTATTGCTGTCAATACCATCTTGTTCTATATCTCTTTACTTTTCCCAAGCGATTTCTATGAAGAACTAGAGCAGAGAGATGAGGGTGACAGATCAAAGCAGAAAGATGAGAGTGACCAATCAAATTTTGTGATCAAAATTTTTTTGGAAGTTAAACTTGTGATCAAATTTTTTTATATCTGATATATGTGAAAACTCTCTCTAATCCATTTTTGTTTTTCTCTGCATCTGGTACATATTGCTGTTGTATTTATTTAAAATTTCTCACATGTAATATGATTATAAAGTAGGTGTGTTACGTGTGTACAAATTTGGTTAAAGGTGTACATAATTTCTCTATGTAGTGTGTATCAACTTATGATGCATACACATTTACCTTTTGCATGTTTTCTGCTTGACAAATTGCCCACAAGAGCTAGTATGTAATATCATATATATTTTGTTGTCTAGGATTGGTTTCCATGTGGTTTGTGTTTGGAAGTAAGATAAAAAAAGACTTGTCAATTAATCCACTTATTATTATTATTACTATTATTATGGTTTCACATGTTTTTTTTTCTGTTTCTGAAGTTATTCCTCATTGTAATTTGTTTCAGATGATGGAGGAAACTATTGCCTGTTATTGACCATCCTGCTATTGCTTATATAGTAGATAGTAGATACAAGGAAAACTGTATTCATTAGTGCATGGAACAGGTGCCATCCTGTTTCTGAAATTTTTTCTTGCTGGGTAAAATATGGAATAGGGCTTTGTACATATTTGTGTATAGACATATTTCTAATTTTATTTAGACTTGTGCTTCCGCTGTTTCCGTTCTTCCCTTCAATTTCCTAATCCGTCCAGCCTCGATTATATTATGAAGATTGATGACACTCTTAAGTTCTTAAATGTATCGACTTGACTCGATAAAAACCCTACAAACAAAACAAGTTAATAATCTTCTCCAAATTCTTATGAGCAAGTTGTGATGTAGAGATGATTATGGTTTTAGACAACGATTGGTGTCCATTTAGGCAGGGGCTGAACCAGGATGAAAATACCAGGAAGAATAAATAATAATGCTCTATTGTATTGCCAACAAACACATAATCTAACCTAAAATCTATAATTAATGTTCCTAAATCTCAACTTTAGCAAGATAGAGGCTTTTACTTCTTGTATAGTTTCTCAGCAATCAAACAGACCATAAGAGTTGGAATCTAGCTGCTCTATGCTGCCTCAAATTAGACTACACATTGTTTTATCTTAACTGATCTTGGATTCAGATGACAGATAGGCCATGTCCATCAGGTCTTTGAACCCTCATGTGGCCATACCCTTGTTTTACAACCTAAACTTCAACTCATGTATTGACAACCGCATGAAATTCGCTTACCTACTCAACAAGGATTGGTAAGAGACATTACATTATATTGGAGAATAAAGATAATTATGAAACTGGAGAATCGAATGAGCCATGCAAAGTAGACATCTCAGGATGCATTTTCTGAACTGATTATGAAAGTTGGAAAGGGGAACTTGTGATGTGAAGTCTTTTTATCGTTTGTTGATGTTAAGGCGTGGTCAGTTTGCTGTTATATTGAAGAAAAAAATGTTTCAAGTTTGCTGTTGTGGAACTTTCAGTCTCTATTATTTCTAAGAAAGCAGCCTCCATGATAAATGTGGGCATGTTTACATGGTTACAATATCATTGTAGCTCACAGTGGTAACATAGTCCTATATATCTGCTGTTGCATGCATATCATAAACTTGAAATCTGAAAGCTTTGTTTGGTATATCTGATGGTGTTGAAAGCATTTCTTGGTCTGACAAGTGGTTTTGAGTTTAAAGCAACCATTTTGTGCAAAATAATTTTGAAGGTTAAGTTAAACTTTTAGGATTTCTTTGGTGTTACCAGATAACTTTAGCATTTTGGATACTGAGAGCAGATAGCAAGTATTGGAGTGTAGTATGTCACAAGTGACCACAACCCAAAAAAATTTAACCTGAATTTGTTTCACTTTATATATAATTCTGTCTGAGGATTGAATAAAAGTTATTATATAATGCTTGTTTTGCTTAGTTTAATTTTGGCAGCTTTACAACTTGCTTTACATTCTCTTACTTCAACTATTACATCTTTGTAGGTCAAAGCTAGGATTGTGGAATTGCGTTACTTTTTTTGTTGCGCTCATGAATAAGTTCCATATATGGAAGAGAGAGACTAAAAGAGAGCTAGAAGATATGAAGAATTTTTGTTTTATTTTGGTTAATTAAAGATATAAGGTGTCGATCATGCATGTACTTCTTTAAAATTTGTATATGTTTAATTTTTGTATAAAATTTGCCAATTGTAAGTTATTTTAGTTATGATGTTATTTTTTATTTATTTAGGGTTTGCTTCTGGAGTCCTTGCAAAGCTATTCCTCATAGAATTGGGAGTACATCCCTCAGTGTCTTAAATCTCTGGGCAAACAAAGGCCTTACGGGCTACACAATTATTTATTTATTTATTTTAATTACATAACACTTTCTACCACGGTGTAGAATTGTGGTAGAAATTGTGAAAGAAGACTTTCTACCACGGTTCTGCACTGTGGTAGAAAGGCTTCTACTTGCTAACACGGCTATTTCTACCACGATTTAAAATTGTGGTAGAAAGTGTTTTTTAGCGTGGTAAAAAATTATTTTTCTTGATGGAAATTGTGAAAATAGGGATGAATGTAAAAATGGGATGGAAAACTGATATTAAGGATATTCCACTTGAGGTAGGAATCACCATTTACACGCAAGGTGTTTCATCAAAATACTTCTACCCCTTCTCCTAATCTGATGACACTCGTGGGAATGATGAAGATAACATCTGCTAATAACATGGAGATAGCCCAGCGAAAGATAAACACAACTCCACACAACTCTTCCCTTTACCCCTTATTCTTATCCAACTGATAGGATTACTCCTGATATTTAGGATTAGGAGTCCTAATCCTAGTCTTCTGAGCAGAGTCCCGATCACTGTATGTATCCAGTTGGAATAAAAGATATATTGTTCAGATTTACTTACTCTAGATCAACCAAAAAATGACATTCACTTGGGTATTCATGACTTGATCTGTTGCTTTCACAACATGTGTTTTATCTGTATTGACAGAGATAACAAGCGATAATGATTTGTCTAAGTTGTGTTTTGAAAAAAAGGAATGGTTGGGGAAAAGGGCATGGCAAGTTTTTTTCTTTAAATCCAAAAGAAAGTTGGGAGTATATCCCTCAGTGATCTTAAATCTCTAGGCGAAGACCGACTACATTACACTACTTTTTTTTTTTATTCCCTTCCTTTCACCAATTTCACCCACAAATTGCTGTCTTTTGTGGGCCACAAAGGTTTTTCTTCCTAAACCCTAGGAGTTAATTTGGATGGAACAGTATTAAAAAAAGCTCCTATCTTCATTTCAACACCACCTCAGAAAATGGGAAAGGGGTTAAATTACCATGTTGTTTTGTTTGTCCAACTTGAGAAAAAAGGGGCAAAAAGTAAATGGCTTTGAAATAAAAGTCATTGCTTGAATGCATTCCAACTTAGGCTACACCAGAGGTAGGCCAAAACCCCCCTTACTGATGGCTTCACGTGACCATCATGGTGGTGGTGGCTCCCTTTGCCTCATGATTCAATACTGCAGTCTCGTGTGTGTGTATGTGTGTGTGTGTGTGTGTGAGAGAGAGAGAGAGAGAGAGAGAGAGATGGAATCTCTTTATATGGAAGACAAGAAAAAGGGAGTGTTGGGCAATGAGTAAATATGTTGTGCTAGGGTCATTTCTACTCACCAGCAGAGACTTGAATTATTTCTACTCCTTAAAGTAAAAGGGTTCTCTTGGATCCTCTCATGTCACATTAAAAGGTTGCTCGAATACCCAAGTAAAATGACCTTTTGGTGTTATTTTTTTGACTACTGGTTTTCCATATCAATATATTTGGCTCTTCATTATTTATCTTGCTTTTTCCAAACCTAGCTGCCCTCCTCTCTCTGTGTGTTGTGTGGGTAACCAAGAAAAATTATATATCATGGAAAGTTGATTAATATAATATGATTTTGACAACCCTTAAAAGGAGAGGAGACAAGTTTAGTCTAAGCCTATCAGCTTAGAGCAATAGCCACATGATACTAATACATTACTAATTCTCTCATATACTACTTGTACAAATATAATATGACTATGTCTAGCAAAATTCACTTTGCATTCAACTTAGCAAACATTGGGGCCAAACCCTAAAAACCCGTTTGATCCGTCAAAAGAAATCTGAATGCCCTCTTGCTGGATGTTCCCAATTATTGAAAGTCCTGTAGGAGATGGAGCAAATGCCAAACAGAAAGTTCCCACCTCATCCACTGGGATCAAAAAATTTCTTGCTGGAAGGGTCAGGATCGGCCCGCCAGAGAAGTAGAAGGAAACCGTTGGCACCCGAACCGACACAAACCCGTTCAAATCATAGCACGTGTCGAATATTGATATTCCAGACGATGTTCGAGGGAGGCTGGCGGTTTCCGTGATAAAGGCATCGCGAAATGCTTCATAAGCTGCCGTTGGGAGTCTAGACACGGCAGTCCCTGTGTCCATAACAACTCCTCCATCCCCCAATTCGGTTAGCCGGAAAACATCTTCGGGTATGGGAACCCGTATGCCTCCGACTCCAAGACCTGAAAGTCCGATATAGTAGAAACTCGGGGCCCGTGGGTTGCGAAGCAATGGTACCCATGCAGCACCCATGGGCAATGCTCCACGACCGAATACCAACGACCCAGATGACCCCGTCCCTCGACTCACTAGACAGTAACTAAATGCACCACCAGTCTGACCACCAAGCTGACCCACAAATGACATGGAGCCCCCTCCAAGCCCCAGCAGACCGGCAGCCCCGGTGAACATGCCCCGATTCCTATGCCCACACCCAATCACCACGTTCCCGATCACGGTGCGCCCGAATGTAAGTGTTTCAAGGGCGAGTGTCCCCTTGGTGTAGGACCCGTCGCCATAGGAAACTTCATACCGGCACCGACCTGCATTACAACCCGCGTTCTCGGTTAACCGGTCACAGACGGTTGAGCTACAAGACACTCCGGAAAATGATGCGGAGTTAGCCGGGTTGAATACCGGGTCGGACTGTTGGTAACACGGATTACAAGGTTCACATTGCACCCATACAATATCACTTCCTGAATCAATGACCATGTATTGGCTCCTTGGAGGACTGCCAACACCAATCCTAACAAAATATTCTCCACTTCCTTGCTCTGTACCTGAAACCACATCTGACCCAAATTCCTCCTCATCAAAACCTCCACCGCCGCCTGCAGTGTTTGTCAGTCGTCGAAGGATGCTATCAACCCTTTTAACGTCCCTCTTCATGCGCTCCTTGAAGCGGTGATCGCGATCAGTTGAAGAGATGTTATCTCTATGGATTAGCTTCAGCTTCCAGTTCTTGTGATGATCATCTTCGTCATCATCAGCAACACTGATATTTTGATCATTTGGTTTAGTGGGCGCCGTAGTGATTTCTGTGATGTTCACATGTTGAAAGTCGGGGTACGAAGTTGCATGATGACCTGGGGAGGAGGAGGTGGTGGTGGTGCTTGTGGTGGTGGCAGGCTGTAGATGTTGTAGGAGCACCACCAACACCACCATAAGTAATGGCTGTAAGGCCACTGCTTCCATGAATCAGTTTTTCTTTGTATATTTTGGTTTTTTGATAGCTGCAGTGATGCTGTGTGAATTGGTGGTGGGTGAGGGGAATTTATTTGCATTGGGTATTGGGCGGTGAAGAGGGAAAAAGGGAAAAGAGGTGGGGACTAATTGAGTGAGGAAATAGAGTTTCTGTTTGTTTATATATATATATATATATATATTAGTTTGATTGAAATTTTAAGGAAAAAAAAAAAAAAAAAACCCTTGAGCATACTCTATTCTGTAGTATAGTGTAAATGAGCATTTATCGCGATTTCTATTCTCTTAATAACAATAAATAGTTATTTACCACGTGTACCCAATATTTTGTCATCTAAAGGAAGAGTGACTAGCCATTTTGGGTTCTTTGTATTATTTTATATTTTGTTAGTTTGCCAGAGCATACTATTACTCTCTCTTACGAGAATGACAGAGACGCCCAGAAATTGTTCGTGCTATTTTATTTAGTTTTTTATAAAAAAATCAAGTAACTTAACCCCACACACGCCTCCTCAAAAAATAAAAATAATAATAATAAAATCATATCACCGAAGTTAATGTTCATTAATGTTTCACCTAAAAACTTAATTCTCAACACTATTTATTAGAAGTGTAGACTGTGATGACAGTATCAACTTAATTCACATTTTTTTTTTTAAATTTCTAATTTTTTTTTAATTATTTCATTTTATTTAATAATTTATTATTTTTCTTGTTACTTTAGGGTTTTGTAGAACCCCAGATAAGGTTTAGTGTCCGAAATTGTTTTCCGACATCGCATACATTCACTTTAATTTATTTTATTGTTAATGCCTAGTTTAATTGTGTAGCAAAACATGCTAGCTTGTTTTCATTTTTGAAGGGTATAATTGTATTTTTTCTACGGAAACATTTTCATTTTTGGGGAGTCTTTGTGCGATTATCTTTTTGAGATATTTTGGTTTAGAGACCTTTTTACAATTATTTTTGAAAGATATTTTGTTCAAAAACTTTTTTGTAATTTTTGGAAAGTGTGACAAGTGTCATATTTTCCTTAGATCATTTATTGACTTTTGGTTGGAGACACTTGGAAGGCTTGGATTGTAACAAGTGTAGGGTGGATTTTAAATCTTATGAGGATGCGTTGAATTGTGACAAGTGGAGGGTAGGGATTAAAGTGTGTGTGTGTGAGAGGTTGTGCTAGCATTGTTAAAGTGTTTTGTATCTCATTTAGTTAGTGGAAAAACTAAAGATTTCATTGTCTTCCTCATTCTTGCTCACTGAGCCACCATTGATGTCTTTAAACTCAAACCCTAGACCTTGAAATTAACCATCTTCCTCACACCTTTTGGCCTAGCTTTTGGAAAACAAAAGATTCCCTTCACCTTCCTCTACAACACCTTGTTCTTGGATTTCATTTTGAACACCTTTCTTGTGGATTCTAGAGATTCTTTTCACTAATGAGGTAGGAGGTGTTTTATATCCTTAGTGTTTTATTGTGTTTTGAAGTTAATATATATTGTTTACATATTATATGAATTGTAGGATTGCATATAGATGAAGATTGTATGTATTTAACTCAGGTTTTCATATTACTCAAGGCATGTGTATAATTTATCTCTTGTAAAGCTTGTGATTACATTTGGTAGAGAATGATTTACTAGTTCATAGGGAAAAATAAAACTATCTTGACCAAACGATAAAGCGAGGCAATCAAGTGTTGACCAGCCGCTAGATCTTTTCGGTGATCAACGATCATATTTTATTATTAAGGGTAATGATTTCCATGGATAAAAATGATGACAAATCTTATGCAGGATAAGATTTCCATGGGGATGATGACAAATCTTATCAAGGATAAGATTTTCAAGGGATAAGTTCCATGGGATGAGGATGATGAAATTCCCTTATCGAGAATAAGGGAAGCGACGATAAATAGGACAACGACTCGGGAATAAGGTACGACGAAAAAACTATTATTAAATTCCTACCTTCTTTTTAGACCTTCGGTGACTAACTTGACCGTCGGAGAGCTCTTGGCAGGCACCACACCGGTGCTGTCAAGGTTCATCGATCTTCTCCTCTCTTCCTTGCAGGAAAACGGTGTCGTATCGGAACGCGTGAATTTCACCCTCAACAGTTGGCGCCGTTTGTGGGAACGACGATTCCCTTGAATCAATTAATTACTCTGTTGGGTATATACGTTTGCAGTCCGGTATGGTTACCGAAGGAACACCGTCGCAGGGATCTGGTCAAAGGGTAGAGTTGGGTGAAAACTTGAACGTCCCAAACGACCAGATATATCTTACAGCGTTGGAACTGCAGGTCCAAACTCTGAGTCAGGGTATGGACCAATTAATCCAGCAAAATGCAATGCTTTTACAACATTTTGTTTCACCGGTTCAACAAAACTTGCCACGACAAGATCTCTCAAATCCAAACGGAGGTAATGGGAATCTTGAAGAGCAGGATAATTATCCCCCCCAAAATGAGACTGAAGTGGAATAAAGCCAGGTGGGAGCCCGACATAGAGAGGTGGTTCACCCATCTCTCCTAAGGAGTTCCTGACCTCCTAAAAGCACAGCCTTCTATCTTAAGGAAAAGACAAAGAAAGTTACCCATATCGACCTGCAGATCGAGGATCTAAAGGAGAAAATGGAAGATGTAATGCAGGCTATGAAAGGGAAAGGTCCTGCCGCTGTAGATAACCTGGTACAAAGGACCAACTTGCCGTTCAGCCCCGCCCTTATAAAATGTCCACTACCTAGCACGTTCAGGATGTCCTCGTTCGAAAGTTTCGATGGGACCAAAGATCCCCTCGATCACCTGGAAACTTTTCAATCTTATATGCATTTACACGTTGTGCCAGACGAAATCATGTGCCGAGCTTTTCCCACTACACTTAAGGGATCAACAAGAGTTTGGTTCAATAAGCTGAAGCCAGGAACTATGAACACCTTTGAAGAACTGAGTAAGCAGTTTGTGAGCCACTTCATTGCAGGTCAAAGGCATTGGAGGCCGGTTACCTACCTGTTTACCGTGGAGCAACAAAAGGAAGAGTTTATTTGGGAATACATCACCCGATTCAACGTAGAGATGTTGCAGGTAGAAGAGGTGGACGACAAGGTAGCTTTGACCGCTTTCATAGGAGGACTCCAAACCTCCAGATTTTTCTTCTCCTTATCAAAAGAACCTCCCACCAATATGATAGAGTTGCTGATCAGAGCGCAAAAACACATCAACGCTGAAGACACCATGAGTGCACGGAAGGAAGGAGAGGACAAGAAGAGGCCAACCTCTCTCGCCAGGGATGAAAAAAATACCAAATATAAGAAATCGTTCTTCAGCCAGAATAATAACATATATCATGAGAAGGACTCAGATGAGTATACCGACTGGAAATTGTCTCACAGCTGGAATTAGCCTTGTCAAGTCATTCACAATAAAGACTGGGGGCATTTTAGTTAATCATTTTAAATGGAGGGTAGCTCCCTCACGTGTTATCTTGTTTTTAATAAGCCTTGAGGCAATGATGGTCTTTAATAAAATTCCTTTCAGTTGCCTTGACTCGTGGTCAATTATCTTTATACGTGCAATATCCCCGTACTATAAGGGATAATAAATGAGTATCCTGTATTACAAGGACCCCGGCTGAGTGAATCCCGTAATCTGTATCCCCGTACTATTAGGGATAGTAAATGAGTGTCCTGTATTATAAGGACCTGGGCTGAGTGAATCTTGTAATCCGTATCCCGGTACTATAAGGGATAGTAAATGAGTGTCCTGTATTACAAGGACCCTGGCTGAATGAATCCCGTAATCCATATCCCCGGACTATAGGGGATAGTAAATGAGTGTCTTGTATTACAAGGACCCAGGTTGAGTGAATCCCGTAATCCGTATCCCCGTATTATAAGGGATAGTAAATGAGTGTCCTATATTACAAGGTCCTAGGCTGAGTGAATCCCGTAATCCATATCCCGGTACTATAAGGGACAGTAAATGAGTATCTTGTATTACAAGGACCCGGGCTGAATGAATCCCGTAATTCATATCCCCGGACCATAGGGGATAGTAAATGAGTATCTTGTACTGTAAGGACCCAGGCTGAATGAATCCTATAATCCATATCCTCGGACTATAGGAGATAAGTATCTCGTATTACAAGGACCCTGGCTGAATGAATTCCGTAATCCATATCCCCGGACTATAGGGGATAGTAAATGAGTATCTTGTATTATAAGGACTTGGGCTGAATGAATCCCGTAATCCATATCCCCGGACTATAGGGGATAAGTATCATGTATTATCAGGACCCGGGCTGAATGAATCCCGTAATCCATATCCTCGTAATATAAGGGATAATAAATGAGTGTCCTGTACTACAAGGACCCGAGCTGAATGAATCCTGTAATTAATATCCCCTTACAATAAGGGATAGTAAATAAAAATCCCTTACTAAAGGGGTGAGCTGAGTAAAGCTCGTAAAGTTCAATTCCCTTATTAAAGGAGTGACGACCTGAGTAAAGCTTGTACCATTCATTCCCTTACCAAGGGAAGATTACCTAAGGGTACTAAAAATAGTACCCAGGGACAGAGCACCCTAGGGGAAGATTACCCAAGGATACTAAAAATAGTACCCAGAAGCAGAGTACCCAATGGTACTAAAAATAGTACCCAAGGGTACCAAAAATAGTACACAGGGGCAGAGTACCCAAGGGTACCAAATATATTACCCAAGAAAAGATTACCCAAGGGTACTAAAAATAGTACCCAGGGGCAAAGTACCTAAGGGTACCAAAAATAGTACCCAGGGGCAGAGTACCCAAGGGTACTGAATAGTACCCAAGGCAGAGTACCCAAGGGTACCAAAAATAGAACCCAAGAGAACAGTACCCAGGAAAAAAAAAAAAATGTTATTGTTCATATGAACAGTACCGGCGGGTACTATTCCCAGGGCAGGGGGAAAAAAAAAAAAAATCTGTTACTGTTCATATGAACAGGAGTGCCATTGAAGAGCTTCCGTTGAATTGTTCCCAGGGCAAAAAAAAAAAAAAAAAAAAAAAAAATCTCTTACTATTCGTATGAACAGTACCCGCGGGAATAGTACCTGTGGGTACTGTGCCCAGGGCAAAAAAAAAAAAAAAAAAAAAAATTCTTAC